TTTTATAAACTATTGTTATAAATGAACACAACAGGAAGCGGGTAAAATATTGCTTTGATGTCGTTTGTTTTGTTCTTCCAGGTGTGTAATTGATTGACAGTTGACATCATTGTACTTGAGATTATCTGTAGGAATGTGCATGGTGAATGGCCTTCATGCTCAAACACCAACTTTACAATACCTCATGAAAGGGGTAATTGTTCACATACTTTTGGTCTCTGTTTGGACTACTAGAGCTTTTCATGATACTAACAGTTGAAACTTGATTTTGATACTTAGGATTAAAGGTTCTTATAACAATAGAATGGCATCTTTCTACTTTCTTTTGTGTTACCATGTGGTGTTATATCTGTGTACCGTATTTTTTGGACTATAAGGTGCACTTAAAATCCTTTTAATTTTCTTAGAAATTGACAGTGCTCCTTATAATCCGGTGCACTTTATGTATTAATTCTGGTTGTGTTTACTGACCTCGAACTGATTTTATGTGGTACACGGCGCTCAAAAATGTATCAAAATGTTTTATTACGACTTTGGTAAACTACGAACTAAAGTAAAGTAAAGTAAAGTAAAGTAAAGGGCGAAGTATAGTTCTGTGTTGGCATTTATGACATCAGTGAAATGTTACAGAGAATATACTGTATGTCCATTCACATATACAGTCTATACGTATGACCTTCAGCAGCACATGGAACAAGCTGTTTTTTTTCAGAGCTTATAGTTTATGCAAATTAGCCATGTGGTTTTAAGTATAACAAAAAAGTATATTTGAGTCCTCTTCGTAGAAAATAATAAAACATACTTAAGTGATCCACCGACATTCATATTCATAATCCACATTCACGATCTGCCAATGGATCGTAGACGCCTGGGCTAAAGTATCAGTCTCACGTGTCGTCCATTTGTTTCGCTTAATGCACTTTTATAATGCGGTGCACCTTATATATGAAAATAGATGACAGAAATCACCATTTATGTTATTAGGTTCTTTTTTCTTGACAGAAAAAAGAAACTAACAGCATAAATTATTGGAAGACCAAATGAACCTCATTGGACTAGAATTCAACATGGTCCATGGGCACACCTCAAGATCATTCTAAAGCTATTCAGGAAAGGTTAATTTATGTCCTGTGAATGAAACTTTTTTCAGTCATTCGATACCTATTCAAATGAGTATCTAGTTTCAGTATCTGATTTTCGATACTTTTGACAACTCTTCTAACTAAAGATGCCCTATTTTGAAAACTTCTTTGACTGTAGCTGCAAAGTATGTCTAGAATTCTTTATTGTCACTTTAATTTGAATTCCCCCTTTCTCCCCATAGCGCTATTTCCCCAACTACGCCAGAGTTCGCTGGGCTGTCAGACCTTGTAAAAAGTCTGTGATATCCGTAGCCAAAACAACAGCTAGAATGTGTTTTGATATGTAACTCCGAGCTGACAGCAGTGGTAGCCGGGGCAGGTTGTAAACGTCACCGTGAAAAAATCCCTGTAGACACAAAGCTCTCCTCTGTGTTATTAGCCATCACCGCTGCTAACTGTCTGACTCACCATCCAGCCAGGTACAGGGACCCTTTCTGTCAACAGATATAATGAGGCCATGACTATTTCACATTCTAATACCGGAAAAGGGACACAACGCTAACAAGTATCACGCCATTTACTGTTCCTATTTCCCCGCCAGGTCTTGTCTTGTTAAATCCACTGCAGCAGGTCCGAAAGCTTTAGTTTTTCCCATCCAACTCATGCTGTTTGTGTGTACTTTATGTGACTGCATTAAATCATGGTTGCGCTGGTGTTGTCTTAGGGCCATATGGCATTGGTTTGCACTGTCACAGCCGAGGAGCTTTTCTCTTTGAGGCATATGGCGTGTGTGGGCGGGTTTGCTTGTAGCCGGTGTTAGCGAGTGCCCGCATTTTCCATTTTTTTATTTATTTATTTTTTTAAAGGTCCTGCATTACACACACTCGACTCTTGTGAGGTTTAAAGGCGCGTTGTAGCTTAAATAACTTTTTGGTTGGGGGTCCGTCACATTCTTTTTTCTATAGATGTCATTGCTGTGCCTGGAATGTTCCACAGTATGACATTAAACAGCTCTACCTTACATTTATTAAATAACAGGTAGTTTTATAGCTCAGAAAAACTAGAAAAACAACATTCTGACTGTGAGCGGGGTCACCTCTCCACAGATCTGAGCTGTAATTTGGTCTGGTTTGGTCTCTGTGATGACAGAAAGGTGTAATGCCATACTGTGAAACATTTTAGACAAAATAATAACATCTCCACGAAGAAAAACATTTGACAGACCCTCCACCGGAAAAGTTACACAACAGAATAGAATATCTTTATTGTCATTGTAACAGATACAATGAAATTTAAGTGCAGTCCTCGTTCAGGGCAAAGGCAGCAATAAATAATCAAAGATAAAAAGATAAGAGTCTCTATGGACATTAAAAAAAACACACAAAAAAACTACATAAAAACCTCACACACCCACACATATCCCAGCCATCCACATCCACATGCATAGCTGTAAAACGTAAAAAAAAACTATGCTTTGGTAGCACCAGTTAGTGAAATAATTACTGGTGGATAAAACTGTTTTGTAGTCTGTTTGTCTTGGTTTTTATGGACTTTATGACCAGAGGCGGCGCTACCATTAGGCAAAATTAGGCGGCCATTTAGGGCCGCGAACCTGGAGGGGCCCCCAAACAATTGCCCTTGCGATTACCACTAATGGCCGAGGCCTCAGAGAAATTAGATTTTCTCTCAGTATGACATTAAATGGGAGTGAGTTACTTTTAAACAAAAAAAAAAAAACAGCATCAAAATAGTATTCCCACCCTTCACGTTAGTATGGACAAGTCAGCTTGACCCTGATTGGAACATAATCACAGCATAATCATATATAATGTATGTAAACAAAAATGTAAATGTAGTAGCAAAAAAATAAAACTACTTTCAGCTCTGATTATCTAGTAGGCTTCGTAACTAATAAGACAAGTTTCCAATCCACCATAATTAAAATAAATAGAGATGTGTATACTTCAAGAATAATGGGGAAAAACAGACAATAAATATTAAAAAATACAAAAACAAAAAACAACAAAACAGTGCATTATAGTGAGGGCCCCAAAGTTAAGTTGAGCCCCCAAATTGTTAACTCTGCCCCGTTTGTGACCGGGGTGTGATGGGTCTTCCAGGATATAGTTGGCATTATTTTTTTATTCATTTTTTTTTATGCGCCTTTAAGCCATGATAGAACGTTTTACCTCCTCAAAAACATACCCGAAGTTGTGTTTTGTTTCATTCACACATGTTTGAGTAGCCTCTTATTATTAGTCTGTCTACATTTCCAAAGCTCAGAATACTCGGTTCCACCTTGTGATGTCATGTAGTGGTAGTTTTTAAGTTAACAGCTCCTTTTAGAGATGTAACTCCAGGACTGAAATCATCCAACAGATTGTAGTGTAAGTGTGTGTGAGTGTTTTCAGTTTGAGAGAAGAACTCAGTCTAAATTTGCAGGGTTTGTGTGTTAAATAGGGATGTAACAATAACCGAAATATCGTGATATCGTATCGTCAAAAGTCTCACAATAACTTCGTGGATCATCATAATATATTGAATCTCAAGTCTCTTTGCTTAAATTCATTGTTTTGGTGCAGCAATAGCTAAAAGAAACAGAGGGAACTACAACAACTATGATCCTTTGCTCTGTTTCAGTTGTATTTGCAAGACGAAATAACTTATTTAGCACTTTTAGATTGTAAGTCTTTGGTTTATGACAGAACCAAAGTCTTGTCAAGGCAGAATATCGCAATAAATATCATACGGAGAGATGCTTATTGTTGAAAATATCGGACCAAAAAATGTGGATATCGTTACATCTCTAGTGTTAAATGTGTGAATGAAACAAAACACAACCCCAGGTCTGTTCGTGATGAGGATCAGAATAGATCAGAAAACAGTTTGATATTGGCCCTTTAAGAATCACTCGTCTGCTTATCTTGACGTGTTGGTTTAGCAGTGTTGATATGAAGGAGTGTGTGTCCACGTGTGTGCTCAGAGACTGGTATGTGTGAACAAATTAGACTTGTGTTTAACAGAGCGTCAGACTCGGAGCTCTCAATGGAGCCTGGACCAAATATCCAAAATGTCTTACTATATTTATCTCTGTACAGTAGGAGGCACTTTGAGAATGTAGGTCTTCTAACTCTATGGGCAGTTCTTAGAGATATAACTAGTGTTTATTCATTTTTATTGTTTCTAGTAGAATTTCAAGACTGAGATTATAAAGTATATTTATTTATTTATACATTTCAGTTGTTACTCATGGTATTTGTCACTGATAGTATGTATTAGGGATGTAACAATAATTGAAATACCGTGATATCGTATTTTCAAAAGTCTCACAATAATATCATAGGGCATCACAATATATCGAATTACACGTTCCTTTGCTTAAATGCATTTTTTATGTTTTTTACTTGAATTCTTGGGATTATGATGGAAATAATTCACACCAAAATATTGTCAGGGTATTTTAAAAGCAAAAAAAGCATCCTATCTACAATTATACCAAAATATTGCAATAAATATTGTACCCTGAGATGCATATTGTGATAATATCATATCGAGAGATTTGGATATCGTTACATCCTTAGCGTGTATGTTTTTTCAAAATATTTTCAGATCTTCATGCTTACGATTTCAGATTTTTGGTTACATCTAAAAGTGTTTTGTTTTGATCTGATTCTTTGAGGATGTTTTGCATTACGTTGATCACTATATTCAGACTACATTTTCGCGTGCCTCTAAAATCTTTTGGTTGAGTTTCAAGTGTTGTGGAAAAATTGAACAAACTATAAAATTAAAAACAAAAAAGTAGGAGTTATCAACATGTAGGCCTGGTTTCAGTTCCAGCCAGTATTCTAATCTGGACAAGAGCTTGCCCTGGGGTGATGTTTCTGATGAATCCTTGTTTTGTTTGTTTGGAAACAGGAGGAATGCCCGCTCCTGAGCAGAGCCCTGGCACAGAGGAGGGTCCTGTGCTGAAGATCAGACCCACGGGGCGCAGCAGCAGTATGGAGAAGGACACCACCGCCAACAACATCCTGGCCTCCGTCAAAGAGCAGGTACAGACACTTCTCACGTACAGTAGAGGTACATTATAGCTAAATGGAGAAGCTATGGAGTTTGGTGTGGTCGCACTTCTGCTATCAAATCTGAAATCAAGCTGCAGAAGGCTGAATAGATCTTGTGATGTGTTGTGCTGTAGTTGTTTTTCCACAAGCTTAAAATCTGACTTTGCAGCAGTTAAGTCTGTCATGAAAAAAACATTTGAAGTGCTACAGAAAATATTACTATTTCATAATAACTGGGCCATTTTAGGAGGATAGTAAACATTTTAGAATCATAAAATTGTACAGGAAAATGTTATCTGCAATAATTATTCATGCACCGATGTTTCTCTGTTCTGACACTGATGCAGATACTTTGGTTTTAAGTATCTGCATATACCCAGTATCAGCCGATAGCAGGAGAGAGACTGAAAATAAAATTAATTTCCTTTAAACACAAACTGCATAAGGTAAAAAAAAGATCCAAATGTGGCTTTGTAAAAATACAGCTTTAATATTATGTTTTGAGATGTTTTGGGCCAACATTGTCCAGTAAATTCTCTTATTACACTTATTTATAGACCAAAATGGGATACTGACTGAACCGATATCTTGGAAGCCGATATTCGATCCACCAAAATTTCACTATCAGTCCAGATCTCTGATAGCCTGATTGATAAGCCGGTTTTACTTCGTGGAAACCGTCTGACCTTGCAGCATTAGGATTTGTTCTTTCTTTTCGGTAGGTGGGTAACTTTCTTATTTCACCAATCGCTGCTATTTGATCGAGACGTATGTAATGCACCAGAAAACTCAGTGGTGTCAAAGTAATTGCCATCTTCACAGCTCTTCACTGATTGGCCGGTGCGCGGTCTACAACTTCCGGGGTTCTTGCAAACCGTCTATTGTATTCCGATTCCTGACCTAGTCACTGTAGAGTAGGGGTGTCAAACTCATTTTGGTCTGGTCGTATCCAACCGACTTTGATCCCAAAGGGGCCGGATCAGAAAACTCATGTCATATAAACCCCACAAAAAAACAATAAGTTCAAATATTTGTGCAGAGAAACACAAATCTTTTTTTATTGATGAACTCTTGTTTTCAAAATATTTATAATATTATGAACAACCTGAAACTTTAAGAAAATCCTGCACTCGGCTCCACTTTTCTCATGTTGGACATTTTGCTGATGAGGGTGTCACGGTCAACAGTCAAAACGATCGTCCTTTAAGAGCGTTTGGAAAGAGACAAATCTTCATTTGTGCTGCTCTGGTGGGAGGGGCCACGTACAGAGACGCTGGAGACGCCGCTGTGATAAACACCACAGAAAATTAACAAGATTTTAATAAAAAATAGAATTAAAATATTTTAGTAGAAAATCAGCCGAGGGCCAGATTAAAGGTCTTGGAGGGCCGGATCTGGCCCCCAGGCCGCATGTTTGACACCTGTGCTGTAGAGAAATGAAATTGAGCGGAGGCACTAGGTGGCACCAGCCTGGCTAGAGCTCTGATACTAGTATTGTGTTCATGCATCCATATCAATAATAAAATGCTGCAATTAAACACACACAAATGATGTACCTTGATATTTATTTGGTGCAAATAAAATGTTACAATGACAGGTCTTGTACCAGTTGGATCTGGTTGCTTTAATTTTTTGTTGGATTAGAGACAGTGCATGAGATGTTGTCTTCTGCTTTTCATTGTGAGTGTTTAGCAATTTTTCCATCTTCATTCAAATGCTTTAGAGATCCAACAGAAATTGACATAAGATAAAAAGAAATACACTGGATAAGACTGGATAACAAGGCAACATCAGTCTCAGAATTTCCGATTACTCAGACTGACATGAATTATTATTAGTTTTTCTTTTTTGTTGTGGCTATAATCACTTGGTCTACTCACTGGTGCGAAAAGAAATGGAAAAACTGCTTTTATTTGTGCGTAAGAGAGGACGAAATATCTGGAGATCGAAAACCCCACAATGGCAGACTTCCTCGTGGAAAAGAAAACGAATTGGACTTTGTTGTTGGTGGCCGCCGCGGAGTGAAGAGGGAGCTAATATTGAGCTGTGTTTGTGGAGAGGCTGTGGTAGGACGTGCCCTCTGACTCAGTCCACCCGGGCCTGTCTCTTTGATTCATCCTCTCCCCTTTCAGTCATACACTTTCTCTTCCCCTCTGGTTTCACTCGTGTTTGTCTCTGCTGTGCCCCAGGGCTGATGTCTAAGAGATGGTTCCGGAGCTAAATGAGGGCTCATATTATGGGTGTAAATGGTTTATTAGCACTTGTAAATGACTCTGCCCGGACTATTGGGTCATTTGCGGTGCTAATGAAATAGAATATGTATTTATTTTTGGCTCGCCTCAGGAAATGATAGTAACACGTGTACACACAAATGAACTTCACAATAACGAGCTTTGAATTGTGTTATACAGTGTTTCTGAAAGTGCGTAAGACAGGTTTAGATCATTCTCTAATTTCTACTTAATCTGGTGCTGTAATACCTGTTGTAAATATGAATGATCGTTTTACACCAACTGAGAAGTAGTTTGTGAAGAAAAGTTGAAAAATATGTTGAAAATTACAGGAAGTATAGAGTTCTATTTTAGAGAGTCCCACGCTGATGACATTACACTATGGAGACTTCTATGAAAAAGGACCAATTTATACTTTTATTAACACATTTTTCTGATACTTTCAACATAATTTCAATAAAATTAAGGTGTTTTTTTTTTGGTCAAATAATATTCTCTGTGTACATTAGAGGAGTTTTGGCCTACTCTACATCATGGTTGCTAAAAATATGAACTGTAATAATGAAGTAACAGAATACAACTTTGTAAGTACCATATTTTTCGGACTACAAGTGGTTCCAGAATATAAGTCACACCAGCTAAAAAATGTGTAATGAAGAAGAAACTAGAAAAGCACTCAGAGAGCGCAGACCTCCGCCAAGGACTACAGTCCCCCTCATATTAATTGTGTTTTCCATAAATATTTGTCTCGTATCTTTCAATTTGGAATATGAAAGAGGATCCCATTGTCCATCCCTGAGTCAAATTTCATGGGGTTTGGTCAATAATTAATTGAGATATTGAGAAACAAAATTTTTGGCCCCATTTACCACAATGTTAACTAAAATTTCAAAGTGATCCAGAATCCAGGATTTCTTCCGGATCACCCCCAAAATGAAATCAGTTCTTCCTTTTCACATTTCCAAAAAATCCTGAAAATTTCATCAAAATCGGTCCATAACTTTTTGAGTTATGTTGCTAACAGACAAACAAACAAACAAACAAAAACAAATAAACAGACAAATGCCGGCAAAAACATAACCTCCTTGGCGGAGGTAAAAAAGGCTGTTAAAGTAATATATTTAGTTATTTAGATAACTAGAGCATAAACAACAGAACATAACAAGTTTAGCAAACTATTCATCTCATTCCAAATCACTAAATCCATTGAATTTTTCATCCTCTGTGTCACTTTTGAGCAACTCCACGACCTCCAGAGGTAAACGGAGCGCCACTTCCTTTGTGAAGGATGGTTTTTGTTGTCGCTGAAGTTCAGACTTTGTCACTTTCTTTTGCAACTTTCTTAGAAGTCATTGGATTTGACTTCTAAGAAAGTTGCATGCTGCACCCTTCCAGTTGTCACAAATTTCTCACTCACTCCAAACTTTCTTTCTGCTGCTCAATCAGTTTTTGTCTGAATATTTCGCTATTTGCAGCTTGTAATCTGCAAAATATGATTTTCTCTTTTGGAGCATTTGTGTTCATTCCTCTCAGTCTTAATAAGTTTGTTTAAACTGGTACAGAAGTAATGGTGCCATCGACTGACATGATCCCAGACAGGACAGCAGCTCTTTCTGCAGGAGACATGCACAGTAGAGCCAAGTGGCAGTGGTACAGGAGTAATAGGAGCAGCAGATACTGGCGCACAAGCCTAGAGTGCCTTCTCACGGCTGTGAAAATGTTAATGTATAAGCCGTAGGACCTAAACCATGAAAAAAAAGTGTGACTTATAGTCTGAAAAATACAGTAGTTAGTTTGTCTCCATAATAAGTCATAGAAGTTATTTATTCAACCTTTTCCAGCTCAAATGTTATCGTACCTAAAAATAACCACATTTTTTCCACTACTGCAAAGAAAAAGGCCCCCACGAGAAATATTGACCCCCAAAAATTATAGTTCCATCTGTTACATACTGAGCGATAAGGTGATATAGTATTTATCACCACAGACCTAGACAGAAATAATGCTCTTGTGGTGACACACAAAATAAACAGTCTGTTTAAGTCTAGTTCAGGAGACATATCATGTAAACTTGACCTGTGTTTTTAACTGTATTATAACAAAGTTCTCTTGTCATTCTCATATTCAGAGTTGGATTTTGATTGATTCATTCATGTAATCCTGTATTGGCTTGAATTTAAGGTTTGAGTGTTCAGAAAAAGTATGTGTTCACTTGCGCTGATCTCTGCCCACTGCTATTTACTTATTAGCAATTACTCTAAATGTAGAATAAAGGTCATGGATATAGGGTTAAGACTAAAGTTAGGAAGCCAGTATAAACAGGCTACTAATAGTCAAATCAACATTTTATTTTGTATTGCTGGGAAACTTGTTGTTTGGATTGTATAACTTTGGTTGACAGCGCTTTGGCAGTTCTGGAGGCCTTCCCAACGAGTTCTTTCTTGTGTAAATGATTCTCTTAAAACGCAACAAAAGGCCCATAGTTTCCAGTAAGAAATGTTGCCATGTAAGCAGTTTGTCATTGAGACAAATCACTATTTCAAAAAGCTTTGTAAGACTGTGAAAGCCTCTTCAGGGCGAGGTTTTATTTGGAAAAATAAATGCAAGTTCAGGTGTTATCTTCATAATACAAGTCACTGGCACAGGTAACAACATAATCTGCATCGGTGTGCCACAGTCCAGAACATGTGTACACAAGCAGCTTTCACTGAGCAGATAATGTTGCTTTATTTAAACATTGTGCATACACTAATAGAGATT